GGTTTTCAGAGGCGACGAGGCTGGGCCACTTTGTCTACGGCACTGCGTGCAGTTACCACTTTATGGCTAGTTCCTCTACGCCCCTCCCCTGCACAGCTCAGAGTACTAATGCACCTCTGTGACAAAGGCACCCAGCACAGCCAAGAGCCTGCTCTAGGCCTGGGCCCTGGCCTGGCCCTTTGCCCATCTCCTGTCTCGAGAGGCTCAAGGTACGCTCCAAGGCCACTCGGCAGGATCTGAAGTCCCTGCTCTTTGCTCTCAGCTGGACACTGAGCATCTGGCCAGTGCTCAGAGTGGGAAGGAGCCGCGTTCCGCCCTGGCCTGAGCCACCTGCAAGGAGCAGGCTGGGTCTTCTTTGCTGGTGGCCACTGACTTGCTGAGGGGATGTGGGTCAAAAGGGAAGCCACCAAGGCTGGCTGGGAGCTGGGGGGCGCCCCGCCAGGAGGCCTGGTTCCCTGGTTTGAGGAAGGGCGGAGGCAGCCGGGAGGGAGAGGGGGCTGTGTGGGGAGGGGCCACGCAGGGAGATGAGGCTCCGGCATCTACCCCGTAGATCTCAAGGCACCGCATGAACCCGCCAGCCAGCCCCAGCAGGTCCCCCGCAGGTCCCCAGGGTGAGCCTGCAGGTGTCCATGTCCAAACTGAGCGCCTACAGCGACCCTGCTCAGGGCCTCGGCTGGCAGGACAGGTGGGCTCTGCCTACCACCTGGCCACCCCTGGCGTCCTGTGTCCGCAGGCTCAGCCTCCAGCGAGGCCAGAGTCCAGGGTGATGCAGCCCCCAGAGTCCAGGAGGGACAAGGTGGTGGCACGCAGCCTGACTCTGTGTGTGTGTGTGTGTGTGTGTGTGTGTGTGTGTGTGCGTGTGTGTGTGTGGTATCAGGGATTGAACTAGGGGCCGGTAACCACTGAGCCGTGCCCCCAGCCCTTATTCTGTATTATTTAGAGACAGAGTCTCACCAAGTTGCTGAGGGCCTCACTAAGTTGCTGAGGCTGGCGTTGAACTCGAGATCCTCCTGCCTCAGCCTCCCAAGCCCCCCTGGGACTACAGGGGTGAGCACCACCACGCCCGGCCCACCCACCTGCATCTTTGGGGAGAGCCCAGCTTCAAAGTCCCTCTGGGATCCACCCCAACCAGAACCTCTCCCAGGCTCCCAGAATCAAGCCTTCGGTCTCTGGGTGTGTGCTCATGGGCCTCTGTACCTCGGACCTGTCCAAGGTGACGGTCATCGTAGTAGCCACCACGTCGTGACCGGGTCGACGTGTCAGGCAGACCCTGGGCTGGGTGGGGGCTGATTTCACCTTTAGCTTTATTCCCTTTACAAAAAGTGCAAGTCTCCGAGAAGCCATCTGCCCCAGCCACAGAACCAGAGGTGGGGAGGCCCGAGTTTGAGGCCAGGTCTGTCTGGCTCCAGAAACTCAGAACCTCAGCCACGAGGACGCTTCCTGTCTGTTACACGTGTCCCTGTCTCTGAGGACGCTGGGACGGACCCCAGGGAGGCCCTGGGGAGTGGCGCTGGGCGTCTTGGCAGAGTTGGTGGAGGGCTCGCTGTGCCATTTGTCCCTGTGTCCCCAGGAGTCAGCCCTGGGCATGGCCTGCAGTGGCCATTTGGTGAGAGAGAGAAGAGTCCACACCAGCTCCTCCCGCCTGGGCCGGGGTCTCCTTTCTCAGGGGCCAGCCACCCACTGAGGCTCATTCGTTGGCTGCAGAGAGAAGACTCCCTGTCTCTGGGTGATGGGTTCCCAGGGCCCTGCTAAGGCCACCCTAGGGACCTCAGAACTCACAGTGGACTCACCGGGGCCACTGCAACAGAAATCGTAAGTCACTCTCATATACTCGGGCCTCTGCCTGTTCACGTCTGCTCTCACTAACATCTTCATGGCAGCCCAGCATGAAGGATGAACCACAGGGGTCCAGAGAGGGTAAGTGACTTGGACTTGGTCGCACAGCTCAGGACAAGCGTAAGAATTTGTAAACAGACTCAAAAGCCTGGGTTCCCTTCCACCTTTAAAGGCAGCTCTTCCAGGGTTTGGTGACTGACAAGGGGCTGGAGGGTTGAGACTCAATCCCAGGCCCTGAGAAACGTTACACAATGAGGCTGGGTTCAGCCCGATCCCTCCCAGAAGTGTTTCCCGTGGTGGTTTGAGCAAACGCTGTGCCTACACTGAGTTATTTCAGAAACCCGCAGTCTCCTACCCACTGACCACAACTCCCCGGATATCTGCAGACTGTTCAGAGAGGAGAGGGGAGGCTTTCTCCACCACATTTCTGTTTATTCCAGGAGCAAAATCTCCAACAGCTCCAGTGAGATCCACAGCCTTCCCCAGGGCTGCCGCGGGACGCTCAGGAAGGTCTGCCCTGGACAGTGGGGGCAGCCAGCCCCACCCGGGATCCAAACACCTCCTTCCTCCTCAGGGCCAAGGGAGCAGCTCTCTTCCTCCATCTGACCTGGGAATTCCTAAGAATCTGTTCTCAGACAAAGTCTCAGGCACAAATGTTACCACCTGCGTTCTTTCTAACAGCAAAACCTTCGTCTATCATCAGGGGGACGCTTAAGTGAATGATCGCCCACACAATCGCTGGAGCCGTTAAAAGGGAAAAAATTTACAGGACCTAGGAAAACACTCACGATGTAACATTAAACCAAAAAGTCATAGAATAGTGTGTGTGTGTGGGTGTGGGGCACACAGAGGAGAGAGGGGAGGGGAGGAGCCCAGGTGCCAAGAGCCACAGCTACATCCAGGAACCGGTTTTTTTTTTTTCTGCCTTATCTCTTTGACACTTCCCCTCCCCCGACATTCCTAGGATAATCAGAAAAATAAATACACACCCGCTGCTCAAGTCCACGGCCTACACCCAAAGAAGGAACTGGAACTCGTCTGCACCGCCAGCCAGGTTCCGAGGCTGACTGGTCTAGGAGAAGGAGGGTCGCTGTCCCCTCTCCCATGACGCCAACACCTGGGACAAGGCCATGCCTGTGGGGCTGTCCCTTGTAAATCTGCCCTTAGGTTTTCCTGGGAATTTCCATCTTGGTTCTTTGGTTCCAGATTCCAGGAACCTTTTGGGGTGAGGGATAGCGGGAGTGGCTTCCTCTCTCCAGGGCAGCACCACCCATGTCCCAGGGCAGGGGGTGGCCGGGCTGCGGCAGCATCGTTGGGCAGGAATGGCTGCAGAGGGGGGCTGGCACGGGGGTGGCGCTATGGTTGACATGGGAGGCTGGGCACAGAAGAAGCCCCTGCAGCCTCTGTGGGATCAGGGAGGGACGTCCAGGGCTCTGGGCCTGCGGCTGGCCCGGGGCGAAGCCAGCGGACTGCAAAGCTGCAGGCAAAACGCGGGCTGCCCCGACTCCAGGGTCCACCTGGAGCCTCCCAGAGACACGGGTGCCTGGACCCTCAAGGCAGCCTGGTCCCCAGCCCACGGGAGCCTGTGCAGCCTCCCAGGACGGCTCCCGCACCATCCCACAGCCACCCTCAGGGGAGCAGAGTCCCAAGCCTTCTCCTGGGCACCAGGTCTCCAGCCCTCCCCTCCCCCATCACAACTCCAAGTTTCTTTGCTCTAAAGACCAAGTGGTCACTGCGCACCCAGAAATCCACACGGCTGGAGAGGCGCGGGGGCCCCCAAGTCCGGGAGCAGGGGCAGCTCGGAGGGAACAGGACTCCCCTCGGCAGGTGGAAACAGAGCCCCAGATGTGACTCAGCACCCCAGGCATCAACTCACCGAATATGTGGCCCTGGTAGCCGTCCTTGCTGAGTGGCCGGAGCTCATTCTTGCCCATGGCGTAGCGCCGGTAGCTGGCCCAGGCGAACTGCATCATCTGCCAGAAAGAGCAGAGGACAGGGACCTCGGTGAGGGATGCCACCGTGTGGGCGAGCCCCGTCCACCCCGGGCAATGGGCCTGAAGCCCATTTTGCGGTGGCTGTCTCCCTGGCTCTGGGGCCCAAGCCGCACGAGGGCAGAGGCTGCACGTGCCTTGCCTCGGTTTCCCCCAGAGCGCCCAGCACGGGGCTGGGCACACCGAGGCCTCAACAGGAGCCGGGCACTGTGTCACCTGGCACACCCCGAGCTCGCCTCACACCAGCACCTGCTCCCCAGGCTGCACCTGGCCCTGGAGGCTGAGGGACATGCACGGTGACCGCCTGCCCGTGCCCCCGTCCCCTTGTTCCCTCCCCGCCCAGGTATGGTGTCCCCCATCTGCCTTTGCAGGGCAGGTTGCAGGGGGCACAGCAAAGCTCTGGGTGGCCGCAGGGCAGAGGGAGCAGGGAGCACGGAAGGCAGAGCCCAGGGGCCGCTGCAGTGAAAAGAACTCAGGCTGCGAGATCCGAGAGGTCTGGTTTCTAACACTGCCTCTGCCACCCTCCCTGGGGCTCTGGCTGAATGTCCCCGAGTCTCAGCTGCCTCCTCCGCGGTCTACTGACAAGGCATGAGCCTGCTTTGCCACATCCAAAAGGTTTCCAGGAGCGACAGAATGACATGCCCCCTTCCAGCAGCAGGGGAGTGGCGGTCCCGGGGTCACTTCCCGTCTGGAGCCTCACGCCGGGCCCCAGCCTCACTTCCATTCACAAACACTGGCTGCCCCAGAAGCCCCCGGGGCAGTGGAGACGGGTGGGCGGCCTCACCCTGAGGAAGAGCTGGGAACTGCCTTTCTGACAGTCCCCCAGGATGTGCCGGTCCCTGGGTCACATCTGACAACCACCGATGAACGCGTCACAGGGTGAGTGTCCCTTGCCCCAGATGCTTGGACCTGGACGAGGTTTAGATTTCAGACCTGTTTGAATTTTAGAGAATCTGCATCTGCACCATGAGGCGTCCCGGGGGACCCGAGTCCAGCCGCGGGTTCCTCTGTGCCACGTACCGCTTAGGCGCGCGGCCTGAAGATGACTTTGCTCGGTATTGCTGGCGCACCTGCATTTTCACGGTGGCCGTCCCCAGAGGCCAGGTGTGTGGCATCAAGCTCTTGCCAAGGTTCACACTTCGGAGCCCTGTGGACCTCTGACCAGGGACGCTCAGCCTGGACTTGTGCCCGTGACCCCCCTGCTGGACACCGTGCTGCGGCCTGTGGCTTTCTCTTCCTGTCCCTTGGCCTGTGTTGTCTCTGCCGGTGGCCCTCTTTCCAGGATGTCACCTGTGTCCTGCATGAGGGGCAGCCCCTGGTGCCCAGGCTTAGAAGCCCCGTCTTCCAGGCCCATCCGGACAGTGCCCACGGGTGCACCCACTGCCGTGGCCCAACGCACAGACTCGGAGGGCAGACCTGATGGGAGTGTGGCCCGCCTTCCTGGAAGACGGAGGGACACGCCAGCGCCACCTCCCCATCTCGTCGATGATGGAACGGAGGCTCCTGGAGGAAAGCGGTCCCAACGGCACAGCCAGGTGGCTGGAACCCAGCCCTTCCATCTCCCTGTCCGCAGGTCCCCTCAGTGCTAGGTGACGTGAGGCTCGCCGGGCAGCACACGTGCAGACGTCATGGACACAGGCCAGGCGCCTGGCGCTGCCCTGGGCCTGGTTCTCCCCGCCGTCA